CATACAGTAATACTTTCGCGAATAAAACATACTGTAGCATTAGTTCTCAGTGTCACGTGTTTATTTCAGCACCAATGGATGCTAAAATAAGTCACGTGATTGGTTAGCTAAATAAAAAATATTTAGATACTCAGAATCTTGAAACAAGAATTGGTTTGAACTTTCATATAGGTATTGGTGTATCTTATGCGTTACTAATATGTTTTGACCAGATAGTTATTTTTTCTGAATTTGTAATTGATAAAACATTTAACATTACGCATTACTAAATATAACCCATTTCTTTGCTTAATATCCTGTAAAGCGGCATAAACTTTTTGCGTCATCATTTAAATGAATTCTTGAAACAAGGACACTTTTGAACAAAATAATCTTGCTCACTTCTGAGTCGTTGATTTATCGCATACTATACCCTTTCAATATAGATTTAATTTGGAATTCTATACACAGAATTTCTAAGATTAATTGAGCATACTTGTTAAAGTATTTACGTGTCGTTCATTGTATAACAGATCAGCACTATATATTATAATATTATTAATCGTTCGTTATATACAACTCGGAGTTTCGTTTTGTAAATAGAAAATAGCATAAATTAAAACAAATATGAATTAATTATTACCTTATTTGAACAAGCACATTTTTTATTGAACAAAGCCTTTTGCGATAGCGCGCGAAGAATTGAAAACTTTGTATATATCTCAGCAGTAGATAAATTTCCGTTTATTTTTTTTCATGTGAAAAATTCCTTAAAGAATTATAATACCTAATATGTTTTAACGTGTATAATTACATAACAGTAAAATTATTTTATTTTCTTGAATGTTTTTTTTTTGAAAAAAAAATCGATAATTTTTTTTATTTTTCTCAAACGCAATTAATCATATAAAAGAAATTTTGTGTATAACACACAAAACGCTCCAAGTGAATTTAAAACAGAAGGATTCATAATTTCATTAAGTTCTTTAAATTTTGTTGAGTAAACTAAAAAAGAATAATGTCACTTTATTACTAATAAAGCTGATAAAAAGTTTATAAAAAATGTTAATTAAATTGATTAGATTGGAAACTGTTTTTTCACAGGCTAATCTTATGTTTCCAACAATATGAGCCTGATAACAATAATTTATGAAGTTTCTGAGCTCGGTTATTTTTGTTCATTTTTTCTAAAGAGATGCGCATAAGAGTTTATGCATATTAGTTCTTCTAGGTCTGCTTTAAGAGTCCAATCTTCACCAGATTTAACATCTTTTTCAATATTAATGACACATGTTAAAGAGATAGATTATCTTTTTACATAGTTTAAATTTACTTTTAACTTAGCTTTTTATTTTTTGAAGACTTTCAAAATTGAATTGAAATGATTCAGATATTATATTTCTTGAAAATATGTTTTCGCTTTCCGTCTCAGATATGATTGTACTAGTTATACAGCTGAAAATTATTTTGCTCCAAGCGCCAACGATTCCAACATTTCTTGCACAGCCACGTGACTTCCGTCCAATTAAATTAAACCAATAGCACTTATTCCATAATTGTTTTTTTATTAGACGGTTCTTAAAGTTGTTAAGCGGCATTTATATGATGCAAAGAAAGAATAACTTTATTGCATTGGTACAATTAAATATGTGTTATATAATGATGTTATACATGATTACTTTGAATGCTCTGGCTACATATTTAGGAAGTAAACAAAAAAATATTTTGTAATTTGCTTCAAAACCTGATGTGTTATTTAGATAGAATATTACTGAGTTAATAAAATTTTTTGCAGTGAGTGGTTCTTTATGATCTTCCTGAAAGTTATTGTAAAGTTTTAATAATAAACCACTTTCGATATATGCTAAGAATAAATCTTCCAGCTTTGAATCATATAACAGTCTTACAAAATTATCTACAACACACCATAAATTTAATAATTTGATAACATCTATTTCATATGTTACTTTTTCTTAGTATTTTTTCGTAACATATCTTGTAATCCATTTTTTTCGAGTGCTTCGAGAGAAAAGACCTTTTTAATAATGGCGAATATGTGACTGTCAAAATTGTCTCTGATCATTATGTCTTCTAATATCATATAAATGTACTCGGTGGCAGCTTGATCTTTGTTTCTTAGGAAAATATTTTCAAAGGATTTATTTTTGGTCATAACTCTCAGTAGAAATTCACTTCTGTACAATTTGATTTTAGGGAGTAATTCTAAGAGTTCTGTGTTTTCGACATCATTGATTTCAGAGGTTATCTCATCTTCGGATAAAGTTTCAAAAACTCTCATTTTTTTGACATAGTAATTGAGTTCTTTAAAGAAAACATTGGCGAAAAGGATGTTGAATCTTCTGTCAGTACACATGATACTTCTAGCTTCCTTTCCCACGGTTTCATCTTTAAGTATGTTTTCGAATATATCATCGATAACATGTTTAAAGATGACTCTTAATACGTCATTGATGATTTCGGGAATCATCGATTTAGCGGTTTCAATGATTTTTTTATCCTCTGTGATACGAGATGGTTTCTCCGCATCTTCATCAACAACCGTTAGATCGATCACCTCGATCTTCTCAGTTCGATTTTCCGGTTCTTTATCGATTTTTGTGAGATCAATGATGATAGCGTTCGCAGGAATCTGTATATCTTTTCTGGAAACGCATCGCCTGGTCTGTTTTTCTACTATCTCGTCATCATCAGGCAAATTAACAAGCACGTAAAATTTCGGAAATGGTATTTTTTGCTTTCCTTCTCTATTATCTTCACTTTTGTCCTTTCTCAATTCGCATATCTCGCATCTCTTGGAAACCACGTATCGCTCAAACTCGACTTCTTGTTCGAAGGGCTTCGATCTTTTTCATCTTTCATCCCTTTCCAACTCGCTTTCTTTGTTATCTCTCGAATCTCGAAATATATTCCTTTTGTCGAAAGTGTTCTGTTCAAATTCGATAATACATCTGAATAACATTCTTAAAAAAATATATAATTTGTTTTATTGTATTTGCAATTTGAAAATTATTGATTCTTAAGCAATGAACAGGACCCATATTTATAATAATTTTAGATTAATAACTAATAAGAATATCAACTTATGCCCGTAAAAATTTCATTCTTTCAAAGACCATATCTAGACTTTAATAATTACGCGTAATACATAATTCTTTGTTTCATCAATCACTCTTCACATATATGCTTATTAATCTTAAAACACTTCGTGTATAGAATTCCAAATTAAATCTATATTGGCTTCAGGAATCATTTAATTGATTACGCAAAGGTTGTGTTGCTTTTAATTTAAATAAAGGGAATATTGAAAAGGTATAGCATACTTATAAGTTAACCACTCGGAAATGCTCAAGAATATTTTCCCCTTTTACAGTAAGTAAAGATATTAAACAAAGAAATGGAGCTAAAGTGCGCGAAGGGACTGGACCCAGTCAGCATAATTTAATATATATCTGTATATATGTAAACTAAGATATTTGCGACACGTAATAATCAGAAAAGTGCGTGAATATTGTCATTTTAATTCAGCTAGGAAAATTCGTTGTGATAAAAAATAATGAACTAATATTTGTGAACGTACCCGGGTCACTGTTTATAAACCAGGAAGTTTAAAAATAGATTTGTATAATATTTTTTTTTTCACTTGCAAATAACACGCGTAATACAATAGAATTCAATTATACACGTTGTTTAATAATGCATTTAGTAATGTATGAAACGTGAATTTTGTAAATACCTATCTCTTAAAATAACTTATCAAGCACTGCCATGTATTATGTTGCACTTTCTAATTTATATGAGAAGGGCACTGAAAAAAAATGAGGCCAGGATGTTAAATTGGTTAAATTAATTATAATTAAGGACGCGTAAGATAACATTAGTAAAAATAATTCTATATTAAAGATTATTCTTGCTTAAGTTGTACCTGTTTCAGAAATCATTTATCAACACCAAATAACTTACTCCCATTCCATTTGAAGCATAGTTTGGTAATCCAACTTCGGCCCTTACTTGCATTTTGTATCACGAATTATAATTTATTTAAACTCCATGAAATCCAGCATAAAGACAAAAAATACCCACAATCTCTCTGAACAATCGAAGAAATAAATAACATGTCTACTATCAAACATAAATACCTAACATTTTATGAAGGCGATGACCTTCTATCAGAAGATAAAATTTTATTCAATGTTAAAAAACCCAGAACAGAAATTATATTGATCCCTGATTCAGACGATGATGATGGACTGCCGTCTCTCAAAACCGTATTACAAGCATAACAAATTTCACCGAACAGAAAATTAACAAAAAGAATGATGTTGAGCTTATCGAGATACATGATGATACCACGGTTGCAAATAATAATAATGATTTCACATATAATATCATTAATAAAGATCGTTCTCTTAGAATCAGTAAGAAGGAAATACTAGCTAAGTTAAAACGATTGGGGAGAAAACTCAAAACCAAAAAGGTTATCAAACATATCGCCGATATATGTGAACATAAAGAAAGATACGAATATTATAACGATTTCAAATTCCTATCCAAATGGCAACTCAATAATACGTTCGCCAGAGTACAACGAATTAATCATTTAGTTCCGGGATATTATGGAATGAAAGAATACACGATAATGTTGGAATATTTGATGAAAAAAACCACAGAGTGGAAACCAAAAGTAGGACAAAAATTCATGGAAGAGGTTATCATTCCCGAATTGGGTGTTAGGTTCATAATGAAAGATCTCGGGTTAGTAATTACGACACCACTATAAAAATCACGCGTAAGAGCGTTGAATATGGTAACCAGCATTTTTTTGGAGACCGTAATGACGAATGTTTTTGGTGAAAAGATATATTTATTTCTTATAATTGTGTGATAAAAATCTGTAAAAAAAAAAAGAGAACACTTGATGGATAAGCTCATAGATTTGGGATGTTTCATGTATTCTACAGTGATAATCACAAGTGACAAGGTCATATAGTCATGTGACCTGATATGCTTATGTGACGTAGGAAACCTTCTTCTGATTGGTCAAAAACTTACGAATGACCAATGACGTAATAGAGACATTCATTTTTTAATGTGACCATAGCGATTAGTTCATATGCATAATGACCAAGGTCATTTAAGAAAACAAAATGACCTAGTCATTTCCTAACACTGTTATGATGTAAATAATTTTATAACTTTCATAATTCGTACATATGCAGTGCAGGACACACCAGCAACTTTTATAAAAATTGATATAACTTAAAAACAAAAAAGTTTTTTTAAGAACATTTATAGCTTTAAGTCTAAGCTACAATTTGGCTAAAAAAGATTTTTGCTTTATTTGCACTGAGTATTTAAATTATTTTTTATTTAGCTAACCAATCACATGATTTATTTCAGCATCCACCGGTGCTGAAATATGATGTGATATTGAGATCTGTTAATGCTATAATTTCACTACAGTATATGTATTCAAATATCATATCTAGAAGGATGATTCCCTCTGAAATCAACAGAGTTCAATACTCTCCCCTGCTAAGTAAGTAATCTAATCAACGTAATCCAAATTAGAACTTCGTAATGTATTGTAGAGATCTAATTTCCGACGTTTTTCACGCCTTCTTTATTATTAAGTCTAGTATTGTGTTTTTAAATAGTATTATTGTTGGTTGATATTTGTGTGACTCATTATTCTGACGTTTGGAGCAATTACACATGACGTCAACATTTTTTGTATTGTTCAATGACATAAAAATTCCTATGGTTGAAGTCAGCAGATTTTTGCGACGTAAAATTGTGAAACCTGCACTCCAAATTAGAAATAAAGTTGATTCTTAAAAGAATTCATTCAATTTCAATTTACGAATTTGAGACTAAAAAATTTCCTATAGTTGGAGTCAGCAAAATTTTGAGGAGTAAAATTCTTTGGCTTGATTGTGAAACATGCACACTAGATTAGACACAAAGTTTATTCTTAAAGTATTCATTCAATTTCAATTGACAAAATTTGAGAGCTAACAATTTTTATTAGTAAAATACATAATAATGATATATAGTAGTTAGTAAAGTTATTAACTGTTATAAAGCTTTACAACTTCATTAAAAGCCTCAAGATAATTTATTTAGTAAGAAAAAAGTTTTCTTTAAATGAATACCACATTTTCGTTTTAAGAGATTTATATATAGAACTGTATTGTATTACACTATGATAATTTTTTAATTTACTGAAAAATCATCAATTAAAAAAAAATAAAAAATAATATTCTAAAACTTTATCTATTCAGAACTTTAAATTTTAAAAATTCATTAGCATCCATTATATATATGGTGAAAATTTCTCTGCAATAAAGAATAACACTAGGTTGTGATCAAATCTATTGTTACCAAATACCTGCGCAATTCAAATTCGATCGTGACTTCTGGACTTCGCGGCCCTGTGGGTCCTCCAAAACACATGACCTGAAAGATGAATCAAAATATTATTCAAAGTCAAGGCCACT